TGTGTGAGCATTGTAGCTTGTTTTTGAATAATCACATTTTAGTTCCTTTTACAATATTAGAGCTATTGTGACTACTCTTCCTGCAGTTTCATAACATGTTGTTTGATGTGTGCAGGTAGCAGCTGACTGCTAGCTGCTAATATAACACCCTCAATGTACAACAAGGTAAATAGTTTTAAAAATCCCTAGCTTATGTACTTGTGCTGTTACTTTTTATTGTATTGACACTATAGTTTGATTTACTTAGTATTGTCTAATCATTACCAATTTAGAGAAGAGGTGAGCTTACTGCTTATTTTACCCTTATTTCGGGCTAAAATTGCTCGTCTTGGTAGATTCTTCCCTTGATGTTTTTCCCACTCAATAAACAGCATCAGAAGCTTTATATACTTAGCCTAGCCGTGGTGGCTAGAATGCTATTTTTCCTTGCTTTACTGGCCAACTCAAGGAGTCTTATTTAACTGCTCATTCCAATGGCATATTACACCTTTAAATCCTATTTTGTTTAGTACCGTGACATGTTATTTTTCTTTTCTCCAGTACAACGCTGGCAATCCTGCTACTGCATTGGTCATAGCTGCTGGGAAAGGCTTCACTGACTGCATCAAGTGTTTGTTGAAAACTGGTGTCGATGCAAATATTTCTGATGAAGTGAGTTTTATCTTTCTTTTTAGCTTGTTATAGCTGTAACTGTTCTCTTGCTTCTGGGATCTGTGTCCGTTATACTTGCAGCAGTGCAGCACTACTTTCAGGAATTTTCTAGAGTTAATATGTTATTGAAGCATGCCAAGATCACAAGATTTTTGTGAGTACAGGTTGTTTTAAGGTAGTGAGTACAGTTTAGAACACCACCCAACTACACAAGTGAATCTAGGGTAATTAGCAAAGTATTCTCAGTGATGCAATTTGTTGGTATTTAGTGTTTATTGTCATTGCTTTCTGAAACCCGTCCTTTTTGGTAGCCTGTTTAGTGCTATACGGACCAAATATTGTTTTCTTTGAAAGTATCGTGACACTAGTTTATTTAATGTACTTATTTCATAGCTAGGAGCAATTTTTGAGTAAAGTACTGCTTGTCTTAAAATCTGAAGTCCAACATCTTACCTTGAATACTTTGCAGGTCGACCAGAGCGAGGCAGCACAACGTCCGGATCAGTGGACCTAAATGGGCTAGGTAGACAGAGAATGCAACTTCCCTAGAACCTGTCCAGTGTTCACGTTCTCATGGTGCAAAGAAAAAGCAAAGCTGCTGGATATGCTGAGAAAAAAAAATTCTTTGGAAAATAGGTTTGCCGAGTGTAATTCTAAAAACACTCGGCAAACAGTAACAGTATGCTGAGAAAAAATTATTTTTTTCTTTGGAAAATAGGTTTGCCGAGTGTAATTCCCAAAAACACTCGGCAAACAATAGTCCTTTGTCGAGTGTATTTTGGAAAAAACACTCGGCAAACTATTTTTTTGCCGAGTGTTTGAGCCAACGGTGCTCGGCAAAGCGGAGACCTTTGCCGAGTGCTTGACCTTGACACTCGGCAAAGCCGTCGTCACGGCGACTTTTCTTTGCCGAGTGTCAGATTAGCACTCGGCAAAGGTTTTACCGAGTGCCCGATAAAGTACACTCGGCAAAGATGTCTTTGCCGATAAACTATTTACCAAGCGCCCTTTGCTGAGTGTAACACTCGGCAAAGGATTTACCAAGTGTATATCGGCCTTTGCCAAGTGCCCGGCAAAGAAGCTGAATCCGGTAGTGCATCTAGATTCGTGCGGGATCTTTCAACACTTAGAAAACCAGTTCACCACGCATCCAATTACCCTATTGTCAGTTCTGTGTCACCTATGATTGCACCTCAAAACGATTGCTGACTTTGTGCAACTCAGGTAGGGCACGCTACAGCAACACAATGTATGCTTGTTGATTGCTAGTATTTCCATCATCCAATCCACAACAAATCAAAAGAAACCTTCTTCAACATGGGGGGTATTGAAGAAATTAATTCGACTGGGCTAGGCATTGTTCACTGGATCATGGTGCGTGCTTTTAGTTAAGGGGGTGTTTGGGACTGCTTCACAAACTCTGCTCTATACATTTCACCATGGAGTAGCTCCACAGAAACTAGAGTTTGTGGAGCACCTCTTTAAGTGCTCTCATAACTCTATCATTTTTCCTCGAACAGAGTGCGTGGAGCTAAAACCATTTAGCAAAAAAACGTGGAGCGAAGCTGAAAAACATGGAGCGGAGTAGTCTCAAGCACCCATAAGTATACAAACAAATGGATGAAAGCCAAGAGAAAGAGATGCTTATAAAGGAAGTATGAGGAGGGCATGCAGGCGTCTCGGCTAAGCTTTGTTTTAGTTTATTTAATCACAGATGAATGCACATATCCATTTTGGGGTCGTCGTCGTCATCTTGCTCCTCCTAGTCCTCCTCAGCACCATCATGGATCATTATCATCGATCATCATCATCTTCTGTGGTGGGCAGCTTGTGGCGACAGAGAGGGCAGATGGCGTTACGGCTGAGCCATTGGAAGATGCAGTGCTGGTGGAAGACAGCGTGGGAGCAAGGCATGGCCCGGAGTCGAAGGGGCCGCAGCCTAGCAGTTGACATCGTCGTCGTCTTCTCATCATCAGCTGTGTCGTCATCGCCATCTGCTGCCTCCTCCTCCTCCTGATGAGCATCCTGATCGGCAGCCAAAGCATTGAACATAGGGGCCAAGGCTATGTCTGGGATCCATGGCTTCTTCGTCTTCATCGTTGTCCACGTAAAATCCTGTTGCCCGACCTCGAGGTCAAGCCAGGCTGTGGCGGCGCACCACTTCCATCGGCGATATCTCTTCTGGATGGGATCGGATCCACCGGCTGCCATCGACAATATCTCTTTTGGATGGGATCAGATCCACCAGCCGCCGGCAAGCCAAGGAACCGATGAGCTAGGCTATCGTCGACGGATATGATGGCTGGCAACTAGCTAGCTAGTTAGATCAGTATATATGCATGGGTGTGTTTGGTTGTGTGGACTAGCATAGCCTGGCTTAGATTTTAAGCCAGGGCAGCTGAAGCCTGGCCCCAGCAATACAACCGGCTATTGTTTGGTTACACGTATAAGCTAAGCCAGTATAGCAGAGTTGTTGTTTGGTTGCTTGGCTGCACTGATAGAATGGACATGTACTAGATGGAGGTGGACTTACCCCCTGCAACCATCAGCCAGCGCCTCCTCACCGAGGAGACGACCTCGTAGCGGCACAGTCGACGGCCATCTTGGGCCTCGCCACAGCACAGTCGTCGGCCATCTTTAGCCTCCAGGATGAACATCTCCTCCCCATGCTTCACCTCCACGTACCAGCATCCATCGGTCCATCCTAGCCCACGCAACGTCGGAGGCTTGGCCGTGGGTGCGGCTCCCGCGCCAGCGCCACCGCTGGGAAACAAGGAGGACGCGGTGGCGGTGGTGTTGTAGGTGGAGCGGAGCAACGAGCCCGGGCAGCCTGGGGGCACGTAGTGGCTTCATCGGGCGGCAGATCGAGCACAGGGGAACCAACTATCTAACGGCCCAGAATCCATTTGTTTTGAAGCTCCAAAACAGCCGCCAAAAATTGACCATCGACAAGATACAGGTGGCGAAAGGAGGGCCCAAAAACACACCGCCGTTAGGCGGTGGACATGGAGATAAAATCACTGATTATTACATAGATTTTTTTTTCGACTTCCAGGAAGCCCGAAGCAGCACTAACTCACGCCAGCGATCACGGACATTGCCACATAACCGACCGGCCCACATCCAAGAGTCCCCTTCATCAATAATGGCGGCAAGTAGCTGCTTTGTTCTATTCTTTTTTCACAAAGCAAGCAGCCCCCAAGCACCAAATCTGGATCTCCCTGCTCCTACAAATCAAGAGTGCCATGAACCAATTCCCATCTTCACAGCTGGAAACAATTACAAATCGCAGCTGGTACAGAGGCAACAAGGAAAACTCACATGGATACCATGGAGGTTGGGAAAGAGCTGGTGGGGCACGAGGTGGGGATGAAACGGAAAACTCTGGTGTGGCTCCTCAGTCACAGACTCCTCCAGATCTGGCATCACTGCCTCGCCTCTTCAGGCACTGGCGACGATGGTGGGGGCAGGGATGTGGGGCCTAAACCCGAAATAGATCATTTTGAATAAAAACTAATGCCTTTTATAGATAAATTGGTTATATAAGCTATTAAGTTTGTTCTAAGTTGAGTCATGGAATTGCTTGTTGTTTGTAGCCTCTTATTTATACATGTCAATATGTAACATATAGCATGCATGTGTTTCTAGAAATTCTTTATTGGTTTTATTGTATTGCCATATAGCGGCGAGTTTCGGGTTCCAGGGAACCATTCCGGTTTCGGTGATCCATCGGGTTTGGTGGTGGTGGTGGATTATCATCCGAATCGGTTTTCGGTTTGAGTTTGGGCTTAGAGTTCAGGTCCACAAAGACCCCACACAACCTGAATCCACCCCATTGTCATCCCTAGTTGGGGGAGCCCACGAAGAATATGGGGCAGACCTCCCCTTGGAAGAGACACAAATAGGTGCTAATGTAGTGTAATGTAAAATCCAAACCCTATCAAGGGGTCACTTGTAAATAACAATTTCCAATATAAGTTCCCAAGGCATGAGGGGCTCTCCCACCCACTCTCATTTGCTTGCTCTTAAACCGTAGCTCTCACCTCTCCTTATACTACCTAACTTTTTTTGAAACTTCTGGCAAACTTTGTTAATTTACATAGATGGTTCCATCATTTACAAGAAATTGTAAGATAGATGAAGGGGGGTCATCTACCCAAACCTGAGAACTCTTATGTAATAAAGCTTGCCTAGCTAATTCATGGTTGTTACAAGATCTATTACAAATAACTAATAGTTATGTCACCAAATTCCTTCCATAGTTGGACAATCTCTTTGTAGATTGCGACTGTAGCCGTGCCCGATAACTTTCTCCTCTATAACTTGTTCGAAACCGTAGTTCTAACAATCTAGTTTTTTAGAACAACAAATTCAATTTGATCATTGTCAGTTAAAACGTGGACAACTCGATCAGTGAGCACATCGAAGCCCCAAGTCGTCATCCGATTCTTGCTAGGAGCCAGGAGCGCCACCTCCAGCGCAAGGTGGAGGAGCCTCACCGCGGTGCACTGTTGCACGGTCACATGCGGGCGGGCAGGGATTGATGTGGCGCGGGTGGGCGGCGGTGGTGGGCGAAAGTTCGCAGTGCACTGCTGCACGGTCACATGCGGGCGGGCGGGGATTGATGTGGCGCGGGTGGGCGGCGGTGGTGGGCGAAAGTTTGGGGTTGCTCCTCTTTGCTGCTCCCTGCTCTCTACCGAATTGAATTGAATTGTGTCATACAGATTTGCACAAAAATCCATACAAAACTTCACACAATCAAGCGATTTATAAAAAAATAAAGTACAATTAGAAAACTAAAATTAAAAATTGATCAAAATACCTACATAATAAGATCTTTTCCGCGACTTGTCGCCACAACTAACGAGCTAGCCTTTCATAGAATCTCCTCAAGATGTAATTGTAATGAGCAACATAATTGTTAATCTGGTTATGGCCAATCTGAACCCAGGTGAAAGTGGGTACTACAAGTTTCAAATGCAAAGAAACTGTTGGAAGCATTTTGTCAAAAAGATTCAAACAAAAAAGATTTAATGATTAGATTATGTTCCAGGAAATAGGAATTGGGATGCGCTAGATGGATCAAGGAGCCGGATGGTACAGCTCTCAGCAACACAATTGTTTGAGCTAATTGTGGCCGGGTTTAGATATGAGCTTGACCTTCTATGGCCATTTGAACCTTCTTCACAAACGACCGTGCAGAACCTTGAGTGACAAGCGATGAATTAAAATGGATTTAGCTATCAAATAAGTGCATTTGACAAATCAAGTAATTTTATCATATATTCTCTCTTACCATTCACAACATCATTCATTTGTCGGCATTGGAACACAACACAAATATCAACATTAGTATTATAGGCCCTTGTATAGTAAGAGTGGTCATTCATTATACGGTCAATATCTCCATAGACATCAAGAAGATATTTGTTCAGTCTACACAGACGTGAATTTTGTCCAGGATTAAAACCTGGTGGATATGAATACTACAAAAAAGACGACGTGGTAGCTTCAGAAACAAAAGACAATGGTGCTGCAAACAAGATGGCATTGCTTCATCATAAACAAAAGATAGTAGAAGGCATGGTAGCTTCAGAAACAAGATACAGCACACAGCCCAAAATCCCCTGCATAGAAGAACGATGAAATCCAATAACCAATACATAGTAGAACACCGACCCTGACCATTAGATGGACAACTTGTTTGCCAACATCACAAACTTTGCCATCCCAAATCAACATCAGAAATATAACATTAGACTAGGTATTGCCATCCAAATCAACATCAGAAATATAACATCAGACTAGATATTGCTATCCAAATCAACATCAGAAATATAACATCAGACTAGATATTGCCATCCAAATCAACATCACATCAACACACGGTACAAATTCATCATTACCTCTTCAGGTACTTCGAGCGTCCGGGTCACACAGATCAGCACTAGTCGTGGAGGAGGGGTCACGCGGCGTAGCACTGGTGGATCATGGATGGGGCGGATGTCATTCCCATTTTTGTAGCGCCAATGGCCCATCTCACGAACGCGAGAAACGAACAGCATATCTGAGGAAAGGAAGAAGAAAAATCACGAACGTGAAAAAGGAAAAGGAACAACAGATCTGAGGAGAGGAAGAATAAAAATCACGAATGCGGAATAGCAGATCTGAAGAGAGGAGAAAGGAAGAGTAGGGCATTCACCTAGATTGAAACGCAACGGTGCGAGGTGGGGGCGGGGGCGGCGTAGGCGGTGCCGGGTGGGGACACGAGGCGAAGAAGGTGGAGGAGGAAGGTGGGTGTAGATGGCGCGGTGGAGGCGGGGGCGGCGTAGGCGGTGACCGGTGAGGACAAGGAAGGTGGAGGCTGTAGATGGTCGTAGATGGAGTGGTGTATGCGGAGAGATTTGATTATTTAGGACTTAAAACATTGGCCTTTGATCATGTTGACACTGGACCCACATTCATAGACACAGATGGACCCATTTGTCATTCACCTGAGTGTCAACATAATCAAGAATTCAATCTTTTTGAGTCCTAAATATGTAATTAATTCAGTGTAGGCGGGGGTGGCGCGACGGTGGTGTCGATCGCGTGGAGAAAATGCTCCAAGGTGGAAGAATGCGGACGGGATTGTGGCGCACGGACGGGAGTCAGTGCTGCGGTGTTGGGGAGGGCGGGAGGGAGGCGCTTGTGCTCTCTGTGCCTGGGCCGGTGGAAAGTGCAGAGAATTTGGCCTAATATCTAGTGACACTTCCGACTGAAAATCAAAGATACTATAAGAGGGTATTTTGGGCCACAGCCCTAGTGGCCCTAGGCCCATATCCGCCCTTTTGAATGGAATTGGAGCTAGCAAATGCTGACTGTGCCAGGCATCATCTGCGTCTGGGTCTCAAAAAAAAAGGCATCATCCATCATGAGCGTCTAATTTTGGATGACCGGAGCCTGGCCTGCCCTCTATCGTCGTCTCGTCTCCAACCATGCATGACATATATATGCATGCACCCAACTGCTCACATAATAATTAATAATAACCTCGTACTATATTTCTTGAGGGAGCGACAATGAGTAGTAGCTAGAGCCCTCGATCGGAGTGGGAGCATCATCTATCAGCACTGGTCTCAGCCAAATCCAATGAAAATGATATGGGATACTCTACTACTACTACTACTACTAGCTACGAGTGCCTTTTTCTGTTTTCCTTCCCTTGCCCTGATGATGATGACAACAAAAGGGGAAATTCACTGGCTCAACAACCTTTTCATTTCCACCTCTCTAGCTCTGCGACCTACCTTGGCTGGTAGCCCGTTTTCATCATATCATAAAATTAAAAAAAACGGATAAGTAACCAGGCCGGGCTAAGCGTGCATCCTCCCCTCCCCTTTCAGCCCACAAGACTATACATAATATAGTAATAATAGAAAAAAAGAGAGAGGCATATTTACATCAACTAACTGCCACCTCGGTTCATGACATATATGGTACAAAATTGCCTACACTATATATTCAGCTCTATGTGACTATATATTGCTCCTGTCATCACATTCTACCACCTAACAGAGATAGGGATCTCCAAATACAGGAGAGGCTTCTGCCGCTCACTGCTTGACAGCTCGCTGACCTAATGCGTTAGACACCATTACATCCATCCACAAGTCTACCCCTTCCTTTTCTCCAAGCCATACAGGTAGGAGACCACTACATATCCTATAACGGGCATCAGCCAACACAAATGTATGCTAATCAGAATCTGAGCCAATGTCTAGTATCACTCTCGGTCGAACTGAACGTCGCTGCTGCGGTGGTGAGAAAGGACCACATCTCTCTCTGGTGCGCTCATCTTCGTTTGCGCTTCCCACAAGTGAACCTGCACAAAAGGAATCAAATGTTACATCTTCTTCTAGGGACAAAAGCAGAGGCATGGTTACTGAATAAATTAGCAACTCAAAGTGCCACAAGCCACAGATTCCGATACGTTTCGCAGTGGCACAGTGATGGTGATAAAATTTTAGCAACAATGTTGCAATTCAAATCATCTAAGCGCGAGCATATCAAGGAAAAACATTGTAATGAACAGATAATAACAAGAAATCACACAAAACCAAAAGGAGTGAACACTTCTTCCTTACCATCTAAAGCTGTTATTCTGTCTCCAGGATTGCTCCTTTTCTTAGATGCAATTTTGGCAGTAGTTAAATCTTCATCAGAGCCACTTGTGCTGACATCTGTCCATTTGTCAGAATGGACATCAACACATGTTTGAGTGTCCGCTACCAGGTTAGCAAGACCCATGGCACTATCTCTTTCACTTAATGAACAAGGTTGCAATGCGCTATCATGCCCATCTTCCACTGGGTTTGCTGCTACCCCCAAATCAGCCCCAGAAACTGGGCCTTGCTTAGATTGATCATTGGCAGGGTAGTTTTCCACTTCACCTGGATTATCTGTCGTCTTTGTACTGGTCTCAAGTATCTGGGAAGTAGGATCATCTCGGGGACTCCCAGGACATTCCCAAAAGGACAATCCCAGGTCACCAAAACCTTCTCTTAATGCAACAAATGAGCTTTCTTTTGGGCATCCACCAGTTTGTTCGCTACACACTCCTAAATTTTCAGGTGTGTTGAGTGGAAACAGATTTCCAGTGTCATGCGTCGAGCCACAGTTCACAGCACCAGGAGACAACACCATGACATCATCATCATCTGAGTCACTCAAAACTATTATATCCTGCCCTGTTGATGCTGGAAGGCCATTTTCATCTGAGGATGAAGAATCAAGATCATGGACATGGGCCATAGGATCACCATTTGTTGCTGGCTCTAAATTAAAACCTTCATTTGCAATGTTTGTATCACCAATGTTGCTTGAGAGAGTGATGCAGTTTTTGTTTTCATTGTATCTTGAATGGTCATTACCAGAAGACGGCACCAGATCAGCATCCCCTATCTTGCTAATTTCCCACTGGCCGTTGTTTTTTTTCCTAAGTCCCAACTTAAGACATCCCACCTCTTCAGACAGTGGCTCTTCTTTAACCTCATGCTTTACAATGCAAATTTCAGGTTTGGCTGCTGTATCTGTGGCCACAGAGAGAGTACCATCTGGTTGATGCCACTGTATAAGGTCCTTCAGTTCAGCTCTGCCCTTAACTCTCCAGGAACCATCAGGCTTGACATCAATTTCAGAAGTATCATCTCCGCAGCTTTTGATCTGTATCACCAATAAACAATAAATCAGCAATGATGCACACCTGAAAATGTAGACATGAAAAGTTGAAAACATTATTTCATCGCCACTATAAACTCACCAAAGAAGTGATGCGATTGAAGTAAGGATCAATTATTATGTTCTCTAGAGAGTAATTCTTCAGGCAAATTGGACATTGCCACTGCAAGCAAGGAAACGAAGTTCGATTTAGATAAAGATGAAACAAGATTCAATCAATATGGTCAAGAAGATGAGGTAAAGTTGTATTGAGTCCAAATAGTCAAACCTTCCGGGAACGTTGGTTTATTTCAATAAAAGCTTCTAAATCAAAACAACCCATATGAGCACAGGGCTTGAACCTACCAGCAATCTGGATCCTTGAAGCAGTCATCTGTCACAAGATTAAAAAAAACAGATTAAAAGAAAAAAAAAAAAAAAATGGGTGACTTTCTGTGAAGGAATGCAAAGAAAACTATGGCCCTGTTTGGCACAAGCTTAAACTCATGCACAAGTTGGTTTATGGAAAAAGCTATGAGAAGCAACTGCTGGGGAAAAACTAAATGTTTGGCAACCTTTTCACTGATACTTTCCTATGGGACCCACATATTGACTTTAGTAGAAAGGGAGAGCTCATCCTCGTCGCCGCTCTTGTCCGTACCCTCTCGCTCAACCTTGGCCTCCGCTGTGCACAGCTGCCCTGACACAGCATGCCCTATGGTGGCCAGCAGCGAACAGGCATGCCTCAGCTCAGCTTCTTCATGTTGTTCTCCATCGACCAAACCAGATCAAGACCACCTGCCTCTGCATCTCCGTTTCTTTCCCATCGATTCAAGCAGCAACTCCTCCACCACCTCATCTCTTTCTCACCCAGATAGGCAAAGTACCAGGGTGAGCTGCACCCAAATCAAGTCCGACTCCACTCCCAGTCTCATACAAGCTCTGTCCTTCCAATCTTTGCTCCTTTCTTCTTCCTAATCTGCAGATCGACACCACAAACACCAACCCACAACTTGAGCACAACCACCTCTCAATTTTTCCTCCCTCCGATCCAAGCTTCAGCCCCAGGCACCAGCTCCTGGACCTGGACCACAGCAGCCAGAGTTCCAAGGTGCCCCCTTCTAGCCGCTGAGCCACTTTATGGCTGGGACGCGCCTCTGAGCTGCTGGTTGAACCTCAACACTGGAGGTGTGGCAATGTGCAGAGGTGGTAGAGGGGAGGCGCGGAGGGGAAGAAGGAGCAAGGCGGCCAAGAGGAAGTGGATGCGTAGCAGGGGGGCAGGGGGTGGTGGAAGAAGCAGGTATAATTTTTCTGCAAGCTGCTCGCGAACCATGGCAAAGAGAATCAGGCTTTTATATGCAACAAAAGCAATGGAGAAGCGCTGCCCTGAAAAGTTTTGCATTTGTGAAGAGAAGCGGCTTTTTTCTGAGAAGCGCTGTTGCCACACAGGGCCTACCATCAAACATATCGTTCCAAGTATGGTGGTCACGGAAAAAGCGTGTACGTTAACAAAAATATAACATATATGGTGATCTTAGGATAAGTCCTAAGCCTAAAAGTCATTAGCTCACAGCTGCAGCATAGAGAATAACTTCTGGTGGCAAATACTAATAATTGAACAAAATTTTGGCTTGAACAATATTACAATGTGTTAGACAGGCAGATGGACCTAGAGCCCAGTATACATGGGCTTGTGCTGCCGCGGACCCTGAGTCCAGCGCACACCTATAGGTTGAGTCGAAACAGGCAATGATATTGGTGATTGGTTCAGATCCTATATAAGCCAACCCTAGTTATCCTTGCCTATATGAACATGAATCATGTTCTCCCATACTTACTAATTCCATCAATCTCACTTTCATTTTTGTCAGGTTTAATAGACATATCAGAGCAATTGGCCATTTTTATAAGCAGTCCATCAAGGATCTAAAGCATCCACAGTAATAGCCAGACTGCTTACAGGGCACCGAAGATTCACAGAGACAGAATCAGCCACAACTTCGATATCACTATCACTGTCTGCATTATTTGCCTCAGCTCCACCACCAACACAGCGGCCTTTTACGAGCAAGGGCATCATCAAAATTTTCACCATCTTGTTCCTTTGGCACCAAATTTAGGACCTGCCCACTATCAAAGTTTCAAAAACTAGAAACAATAAAAATGAAACAGGATTCAAGATTCAGGTGTTCAGCACTTTCTAGGTACCAGCTTGTGGCAGTAGTACTGTAGCAGTAATACAACCAGCCAGTTTATAGTATTTTCCTGTTTTTTTTTGGGGTGCATGGGGGTGATCATTCTCTGATTAGTTTTTTCACTACAAAATACAAATCCTAACAAAGGGCAACAGGGAATTGGAATTTTGCTATAACACCAAACATACAAGTTCCACATATAATCTTTCTGGGCATATAAAACAGCTATCCTCCCAAGGTGGCAAGGCCTTACAATGGAATTCACTTGGAAGATAATCAAAAGTCTAAGACTCCAAACATGGTAAGAATAAAAAAAGAACAGAAAGAAAAGCATCTCAATATTTGTGGTCGACAGAGGAGGGTAAAACTTCTAATATATTAAAAAGCACTGGACATGCCTAAGAACAATAAAAACCATCTGAAAGTGTTTGCCGATGCCTATCCACTTTCTTAAAAGGCGCACATGAAGCACGGCTGATTCACATATCCTTGCCCAGTAAAATATGTGTGTCTTGAATCTTGAGAGCGTAGTGCTTAACAATGGACTATATACTACAAATCCCACCTGTCCTAGAGATCTCCTCTTGGCAATTCTGATACCCAAACAGAAAGTACGAGAGTCATTTCTCGATAGAGAAATCTTGTTAGGTCCCTCCTTCAGGTAATCTGTTAACTGGGAACATAGAAATGTTCAGGGTCAAAAGGAGATATAATATACAAGAGAAAACTGTAGCTGATGAATGCAGGAAGATGATGTAAAAAAGACGTCCAGTGCCTTAGCAAAAAATAAACAGAATAGCAAGCTTCAAAACAAAAAAGACTTACTAGTGGACCATCGTCTCTACCATTGGCCCCTAACTTTTGTTGGGGTTGCCTGTTAACCACCCTAACATAAATACCTGACAAAGTAAGAATTACCAACAGGAATAGTTCAGATATAGTATAATTGAACTTACTGTCAGAATAGCTACCAGAGCCTATATGATAACTACAGCTAGAAGGATGTAAAATACTATTTTTGCTAAACTGCAGGCATAAGTACAACTACAAGCACAAGTCATAAACCATAGACTGAGGTGCATATACAAATCAACCCATAGCAAGACCCCCAAGAAAAGGAGAAAAGCATCACTGACTGTACAACAAAAGATGAATCAGCTGTTATTTGGACTTAATCTGATTCAGACTGGGGTGTTTGGCTCTGCCTTTTCCTTTTGTTATACAGAAAATAGCACTTGGCATCCAACAAAGCAACACAGCTGCCAGAAGCGTAGGTTCAGGCTCAAACGTCCAAGTAGTGGCAACATAATAAAACCAACCAGGTGTTATACAAGTATTCAACAATCTACACAACATATCAACTCATAAAGAAGAACAAAAAAATAAAGGGTATCTTCCATTCTTTCCTTGTACACATTGTGAAAAATCAAACAGGTGGCACTTAACTAAGTTTTTTAACTCAATAAACATGTACCCAAATCCAATTAGAAAATATGACTCACTATACATAATAAGCCACTGCATATACCATTAACTTGCATGTCAGAGTGTAAAGGCCAGTGCATCCTAAAAGGTACTTTGTCACTGAGAAGGATACACCAAACCTGCATAAGAAAAAATCGATTTGAAGTCTAAGTAAATAACTGATCCGTATAGGTTGAACATAGTGGCTGCACATGAAACCCAAGGTAGGAAATCAATACACACAGGTAATGGTGATTATTCCATGATGATCCTAAACAAACGTAATGGTCCAAGGAGAATGAAAAGAAAAAGAGGTGGAATTAACCTGAATATCGCATTCAGCTTGCTGTAGCATTTCTCTATTAGCTCTTGAAAGCTGAAAGCTTTTTGCAGTATACTGTACAGTATATGACCTGGACATAAGCAAGAATCACAAAAGGCTATGTATATTCCTACTTAACTTTTATAACAAAATGAAGCAATTTGTTCAACCATTTTGTTGCTCGGGACTCATATATCAACATTGTTATCCAAAGTACAATTATCTCACGTTTCTTCCTATAAATAACATAAGGAGTAAAGATGACTGCACAAATCATGTAAGCTACAGCAGCAACACATAATGGAGGAGGCTGTTCATTTTATGTCATCCAGCAAACAAAAGTAAAGCTCACATCATTCACATGTATTCATGCAATTAACAGATGTAAGAGCATCTCCAGCAGTTCCCCAATCTCATCCCTCATCCACATAATACTGCCATATTGGGGGAGATGTGGTTGATTTGTTGCTCCAGCAGCTCCCCAATATGGCCCCCTTTTTTGGTGGTTAGCAATAAACTCCTCTTCTTCCCTCAAATAAAGGGGGAGTTGGATCTCCCCCAATACAGTGGGGCCCACAATAATTGCCACTTCTTCGGTTCTTCCTCTCTGCACAGCCATGGCGATCGAGAAATCCGGCCAAGGGCAGGGCTGGGGGTGGCGCGGCCGGGCAGCGCGGTGGCAGGGGCCAGGGCTGTCGCTCGCCGCGGCGGTGGTCGTGGTCAGTGAGCGCCTCTACGTAAGAGCAGGAAGGAGTTCGACCGCACGAGCGCCTCTACGCATGCAGGAAGAAGACGACGCGAGGGAGGAAATGAAAGAAAAAAAATTGTAATATGACATGTGGGTCCCATATATTGGGGGAGATTATTGGTGATCTGCTGGAGCATCTTCCCAATAGTCTGAAAAAACAGTATTGGCGATCACCAATACCATCCTATTGGGGATGAATGGTGAGCTGCTGGAGATGCTCTAAAGCAACACGTGTAAGGCTTGTTGGGGAAAGAGTACTCAGAGCAAAGAATATTGTCATCACACAAACAGAAGATAAAGCAAATGATTAACAGATAAGATCTGATGGCGACTTGATAAAAAATGTTTTCTAAAAATATTCAATGATTTTCTTAGCATTGCCATCCTGATTACAATATGGATATCCATTTCTAAAATTCTTAAAAGAATTAAGTTGCAATTATAGCAAAAATGCCCAACCATGATACAATACCTTTTTCATGCTGTATCAAAGTAAATTTATCAAAGGAAGTTATTTTACTTATTAGAAAATTAGACAACATGGGGGTCTAGCAATAACGATCAAAAAGGTTTTAACAGATAATTCAGAGGACGCAAGACAGAACTGATTTGTACCATCCAAAAACATCAATAAGTGTGCATTGTGATGAAAGAATGGATAGCTCACCCGTCTGCTGCTACGGCAGAGGGTCCTATTAAGACAGGGAGTAACAGATGGTTCACGGTGACCCAAAAACTGCATGTTACAGTAGGAAACTATGTCAGAAATAATAGGTCACCTAATATTAGGACTAAGAAAATAATGCTTGTTACCTAAACAAGTAGAACAAGGAAGCACACAAAAAGGTCGAAGAAGAACGTTGCAAAGGATACAGATTGCTCAGATTTAATTTCTAGGCAAGGAGATTTTCGTAAATCGTAAGTGATTGATGCCACAGAATAACCAGCGCAGACAAATGGCATAAGGTCACAAACTAAAAGCAGTTAATCACATGATGTGTGTGTGACTCGGTCTCTTTGAGTTCAGGACAATATTGAAGTTTAAAACAACTTACGGATCAGCCCTGCTAAGTCGGCACAGTTCACAATAAAAGCAGGAAGGTAATTCTGGAGAAATGTTGTCCACAGACTTCTCACTATCGGGTATGATAACGCAGCCAACATGTTGCCATATGTTGCATTGTGGATCAATACACTACAAGGAGCAAACAAATGATCAATGAAACAGAAATATGTAGTGTAGCACATCTCATCAAGCACAAGAGCTACAAATTACAAAAGTTTCCGAACAAAGCAAGTAATGCTACATTTCACAATAAAAGCTACAGGCTTCCAGTATAAAAGTGAAAGACTGAGAGCGAGCTAGACCATCAAATTGCTTTGAAGTTTCAGAATATAAACAGTGAGATGCTTTGGTGATTCTGAATGGACCAACAACAAATATCTGAAACCTTTATGGTTTGGCTGCAGGACATCAAATACTGTAGAAGAGTTAGAAAGGCATATTTATCATGAGAATTTTACCTTAATCATGGAATCATTTGGCTTGGAGTCACCACAAGGGCAACGAACCTTAACTTTCTGAGCAGAATCACCTGGTTTCTTTTTAGGCTTAACACTGTGTCCTGATTCGTGGCTCTTTGAGGCTGCAACAGTATTTGTAGGGTCTTGCATTTTTCTTGAAACAGGAAGCAAAAAGCGATAGTTTGCCAAGGTTTCATTAGAGCCAATCAGGTAATCTATAGTTGTACAGACAAGTCAATGTGAAAAAAAGAAATATGGACTCACCTAAAAGTGTCCTCCACTATTTTCACCACCATTTTTGCCTTTGGTAAACCATTCGTTTCTGAGGCTACAAGAATAAAGATAAATTATTTCTCATGCTTGAAAAATAGTAATGCAAAACAATAAGAATGGAATGTACCTTGATCTTGCTGACTCAACAATACCTCCATAACCCTGTCCACTAGATCCTGCAAACCAAACCGGAAACAGCAAGACCACTTGGGTCATAAGTAATAACATCCAAATCCCCCATGAAAGAATACTAAAAGGCACAAAGATGATTGTGTTGGTGAATTTCTGCATATGCTTAAGCTATTAAAGATAGCGGCCTTAAGAAACCGATGCCATTCCGGCGTTTTTAACACAATAACAGGGAGTACTGGGCAATGGCTGTTGATTGTGAATACAGTATGTAGAGGAGCTTGCAGTGGGCAAACCTGCTTCTTTCCTTGCTTTGAAAGTCCAAGCTTATCCAGGACATCCTTGAGCTCTTTTATTCTGAAGTGGCTCAATTTGTGCTACAATGAAGCATTAGTAGAGCAAATGTTAGCAGGGCACATTATCTCAGGATCAAGGAATAGCAACGTATTGGAATCAACCAAACCCTATCCGGCCAGCAAGCAATTTGGAGATAGCTAGATACCAGCAGTTGATTAGGACGAAACAAAACATGGCAACCGTAAATGACATGGTGAAACAGTTTGGCGGGGACGCTAAGCAGCTAGTACATACATTACTAGATTCTGGGCAAAACAGTGAGGCAGTGTTGAGGGGACTGAATTTGGGGAGTGGTATAGAGAATGAGCAGGCGAGTGGCACTAGGGTATGGGAGGGAACGAATCAAGTCGATCGAGGGCTCTAGGTAGCTCGAAAAGAGCGAAAGGAGATGGGAGGGAGTCCGTACCTTGCAAGCGGCGAGCACGGGGTCGTCCGGCGACGCCATGTTGGCAAGGAAGCAAGGCCTTGTTCCTCCAGGTCCGGCGGGCGGGCGGGCGGGCGGCGGAGTGGAATCGGGTCTCGGAGAGAAGCAGTGGCGGGCCGCCCTACCTACCTCGGCAGCAAAGGAGCCATGGTGGCGGCGTGTTTTTTCTGTCACACAAACGCGGCGGCGGTGTTCTCTCTGCCTTGCCTCTGCGTGCGTGCGTCGAGTGGAGGAAGACGAAGGCCGAAGCTGTGTGGCCAACAACAGGTGGAGCGGAGCGGTACGCGTTCTTGGGCTGCCTAAGTTCTTTGGCCCAAACTAGCTTAGTCTCAACCAACCCCCAAGCAGGCCTTGGTGTGATAGCCCCATCACGTTCGTCTTCTGTTCGAACCCCTTGGGCCTTGGGCCTTGGACCTTGGCGATTGTTCAGTTCTCCATCTAAAAAAAAAGCTAACCATAGATTTTCCTATATAAAAAAACAAAAAGAAAAAGAAAAAAGAAAGCTAACCATATGGATGCATGCAATTCACCACACCATCTTCAATAATTCTTCATTCTTCCATGCGGAGTATATGCATGCATAATATATTATTCGGTTCTTTGATGCACGTGGCAGGTACCCCTCTCCTGCTACTTGCATTGTTGCCTATAATAATAATAATAATTGTATATATATAGTGCTGCGGTCAACAACCATTCAGATCATTATTCTTTCCACTCATCATATTATTATTATTCTTACAGTCACCGTGTTATTCCTTTTTCACTCGTTTTTTCCTTTATCTCCACTGTTAGTAAAAGCTTGAAAGTGGTGGTGGCGGCAGCACAGCACAAGGGTCAAGTGTTGGTGGGTGATTGATCGATTTGTAAAAAGTTACAATAAGTGGTGCATAGGAGTGAATCGTAGAGATAAATAAATGATACGCATCATATGGCCCATCATCACCACCTTGATGACAATCTCATTCTCATCTCTTGTGTATGCTCGCTCATCTGTATTGACTTGGTTCCTGTTCAGCCTCTTCGCTGATTGGTTTCACTCAAAGCTTATCAGTCATGGTACAGTATTTTTCTTTCACAATAAACCAGCACTAGTCGGGCTCATCAGTCCAGAAACCAACTAACAAACAGGCTGATAATCTATACATAATAATAAAAAGGTAAAAAAATTTGTCACTTTAGATTTTCGTCCACCCTATAATCATAAAGTGACTCGGTCTCGGCCATCAGCTCAAAAATTAGAAAAAATTCCCCATCTATTTTTTTATTAACGAACGTCGGCCTTTTTTGATTCTTTTTCCTTTTTTCCGTTTCCACTTCCCGCCGGAGGTATGTACGTGACTTTTTCTTTCTCTTTTTTCTCCCATTTTTCTTACAAATCTATATCTAATGATAAAGAGGTAAAATTTCTGGCCATTTTAGATTTTCGTCCAACCTATAATCATAAAGTAAGTGACTCGGTCTCGGCCATCAGCTAAAAAAAATTAAAAAAAATCCCCATCTGTTTTTTTATTAACGAAAGACCTTGCCGACAGCATTTTTCGATTCTTTTTTCCTTTTTTCTGTTTCCACTTCCCCATGAGGTATGTACATGACATTTTCTTTCTCTTTGTTCTCCCATTTTTCTTACAAATAAAAATAATAAATAACAAATATAGTACTATAAATCTTTAAACTCTTTATCCTTCTATATTCTAATAAATAATCCATAACTTACATAATTTATCATCCATAATACTAAAGAGGCAAAATTTCTGGTACAATTTTTTTTCGTCCCACCTAATCTTGAGTGACTCCGTTTTCCCCACTGTTTTTTGTTTCCGTTCCGTCTCCGACAGTAACACGGCGTTGTTTCAGAATTCTCTTTGTTCTTTCCAGGCCGTGCCCTGCCTGCACTGTTCTGCAGCCCTTTCCTTTCCGTGTCCCATTTCTGTTTTCCGTGGATACTTTTTTCGTTTTGATGTTTCTCTTTTTCTCGATGCTATAATTGGAAGTGGAAGTGAAAATGTGCGCGCCTGGCCCTTCGCGCTATGGCATAGATGCAATTGATTACCTAAGTAGAAGAAAATATATTGAGTCAAAAATTATTTATATATATGTTTTTTAGCATAATGTCGAGTGCAATAAAAATATGACCATGTAAATGAAAAACTATAGCTTTTCAAGACAAAAAGACACAAGATGTCAAAAATTTAGATGACGCTATACCTCTCCCGTTGCAACGTACTATCATTTTGCTAGTATACATTAATTGTGCATGTAGGAGTAAGTTGTTCAGAGTTCCTTCCTTCAATGGAATATATAATAGGTCCTGACGCCAGCTATTGATTACTTTATTATCATCTTTAATTTGTCACTGATAAAAATCTAGACGATCCGATGACCCTTCTTCATCAGAAAAAGAGGATCACATGGCGTGTCAGTTAGAGTTTGGCATCCTCTTGGACGTGCACTTTCTGTCATATCCATCATCATACTACGTGCATGCGTACATGGGATCCATTCTCGTCTTCAATTATTTTGATACAAAGATATGCGCTGTCTACCTGACCGTATGTACGTGATGTAGCTAGGTGTCCCACTATACCATGCTAATAATTTCGCCCGGTTGAAAAACATTTTGTGGGAAAAGCCAAAGTTCTGCTTGTGTCCGTCGGTACTCACTTTTCTGTTATAAGGAAATTTTACGATGATTTCATGACACTAAATAAGTTAACATGACATAGAATAGATAAAGAGAAGGGTTGATGAAAATTTCACGGGACAAAATGAGTTTCACGCAGACTTAGGAAACTGGATAGGGCAAGTAAATAGTGAGTCAAAGTCCACAAGTTTTAATTATAGATCGCACTAGCTAGACACAGGAAAATTAAAGGATTAATTAATTGTGGCTAGCTACGAGTAGTACGTGTGAAAGCATATGTCCCTTCGACGCCCTCAAAAGATAAGATATGAAGAGGGGAAAAGCAAGCTAAGCTTTGCTTTGCTTTGCCTTTGCTTTTGCTTAGAAAGGAGCTGCTAGTCAGCCGGCATTTGTGCGCGCGAAAGATAAAATCCATAGCACATCCATCAGCTAGCACCAAAAGGTGATCTTTCTGCTGTTACCACTTTTTCTGCAACACTGCACTACCATCTGGCATGATACGCAGCCGAAAGGCCTCCATATATATATATTTTTTTAATTGTCGGAGAGATTATATATGCGTGGTTAAAACCAAACAAATTTCCTTTCGGCTACATATACCGGTGAATCAACAGATGGATGGACGGTGCCTGCCGCTGCCGGTGCATGTACATGTAGGCGTCCATACAAATATTCTTTTGGAGAAAAGAGACGGGCTAGGCAGGCATGACAAATAATTAGATGACCAGCAGCAAACGATGCAGGTCACAAGTCACCTTCAAAGAAAAGTAGTGACGACTAACACAACACAAATATGGATTAATAACTGGTGAAAAATATACATAGGCTAGTGTCATTTTCCATGTTTAAGCTGTTCTCCAAGGGCCTCGTCTCAAGCAGTAATACCTTAAAAGGCGAGGGTTTGTTCTGCAGTTAGGTCACTACCATGTTGGCTTGATTACAATTAGAGACCCACTTACTAGTAACCACTAACTCAGCAACTATGCAGGTGAATTGAAGTTAGATAAATTGTTTCCCTGGAGAAGCTAAGACCCCCTACTTTCATGAACAGAGAGGCTCCTTTGTTAGGACTGGTTTCTACTATCATTCTCAACAGTGCTACCTAAATTAGGTCCCTCCTAGCATGTCTTTTTTATCTCCTGAGCCTAGCGTGGACGAATAGATAGGAGCGGCAGTTTTGTAATTTTCAGCAAAATAAAGAACGTACCAAGGTGTTGGCTCCGTGAATCCGTGCGAAACCAGCCAATGAGCATTTGGGTCGGTTAAAGAAAAGCCAGAATGTTTCCGCTCCGAATCCAGTAACGTTATTCTCGTTTCGAGTCATTTCATTCAATTCTAACGAAAAACGGAACTGATTCTAACCATCCAAACGACGCCCCTAAAAATCTCGCTAGCTCGAAACGTAAGTCAATTCGTAGGGTGTCGTGAGTGCCTTGCTATCTTGGTTTCAATGGTCCGTGCTTTGGCCTTGTCTTCGTCGACAAACGTTGACATGTTGCCCGTGGCGAAGCGGATGGAGGTTGCATGGTCTCGACCCCTCCGTTCCAGCGACCAAGGGCCAACTTCTTCACCTTCACCTTTCACCTGGATGGACTGTGGTAGCTCACTAGTTGTTGTCATTATAAAGTGGCCTCACCTCCATGACAAACTCGTTTCTGCTTTTCATTTTTTTTTATATATTTTATACCTAGCTAGGTGAAATTTACTATCAGCTGAAACAACCACTACGAGCTAGTCCATCAAGAGAGATAAATTTTACTATTGTCTCCATGCTTTTCATGTTGCTATTTTGTATATCTTTTTAAAGGCTAGCTGTTTTTTTTCCGGATACCAAAATCAATTACCATTTTCAATATTTTATTAAAATAAAACACAGTAATTTTGTGTGCCAAATTTAAGTTGATGAGTGAAGCAGCGGGGGTTGCTTTGCAAAAATTGATTTCAATAAAGATTTTAGCTGTAAATAAATTTTGACGGCTTTAACACGTTTCGTTTAGAAAAAATCATCAACTTTGGAAGGGAGCAAGTACTGTTCCACCTTGTCACCAATAATGCACAAATGTCTGGTGACCCACCACGCCACACACCACGCACCCCTCGTAGTCCCGGTTCGCTTCGCTGAAAAAATAAACAACACATTGTTTCCGTTGATTTGTTGTGAGAGAAAAACACTGTTTCCGTTAAAAAAACAAGCTGAAAAAGACATATTATAAGACGAGCGAACAGGGCCATAGACCCTACCTACAGTGTAATAATGAGCGCCTGCATACTAAATGCGCATATATGGATTTTTTTTTAATTTTAACACTTTTTGTAAACTATTTTTAAATCTAACATTGTTTTTTTTCAAATCTAACACTTTTGGCCGCGCCTATTT